CTGGCTTGTGTAGCCACCAGGTAACAAAAGCTCAACACGGCCTCTAGCATCCTGGAGCACTTCTGTTGTGTTTTGGAGTGTGTACGTGCTTTGTCTCTAGGGGCCACTGTAAATATACTTTTATTTATTCACTCCACATAAAATGTAATAAATAAATTATAAAATACAAAAAAACAACTATTTACATTTCAACTTTTAACTATTTAAATTTTTAGCTTTTTCCTTTTAAACAAATTTAAAGTGAAACAACACAAAACATTACAAACTACAACACAATTAAATATAAATTAAAATATGGAAAAAAGGGGAAAAAAGAACGCCCAGATCTTTAATTAAGGGAAAGGTTGTCATTTAGAAATATTAATATCACACTCAGCTGACTGTGTTTTATCTTCCCATTGCACTGATAGGTGGACAGTTCTCAGGTGCCTGTGCATGTTGTTTGTGGAGCCGGCTCTATATGACATCCTTTTTTGCAGACTCTACACTCTGCCCTTGTTTTGTCATAAGATTGAAATGGCTCCAGACTTTGCTTCTTTTCTTGGTGTCACTCATTTTCTTTACTGTACCTTTCCAATGTGACGGTGTTGTCTCTTGTTGCACCCGGCTCTCTTTCTTTCCCTCTCCCTCCTGCTCTTGTTGTGTGCTACTGCTGTTGCGAGTGTAACTACCGCCTCGCCCCCTCAGCCCAGATTTGTTTCTTATTGGTTGTCTCTGGAAAACAGCGTTTAATATGATCGTGCAGCACTGGGACCATTTTTGTCTGGCAGAAAATAAACATTTTTAAACCAGTTACTGTTCCATTTGCATAAAAAAGCTTCATCATTATTATAAAATACAAAAATAGAGTTTGCTGTTTGGACCACTGATTAAAAAAATACTGAGTAACAAGTAAAACCTGAAGAATACCAAAGACTTCCTTTTTCACTGTTTGTAGAAACCTCGATGTTAGGTATGCTCAACAACTTTTCCATACTCTTTTCTTTTCGAGCCCTCGTGTGCATCCACATAGGTGTGGCTGATTTCTGTTTTGTTGTTTAGCCAGAAAGTTCCTCAGGATGCGAACAAGATCATCTTGTTCCTTAACTCAAAGATAAACAAAGAGCAAAAAAAGCCCTTTGTGGCAGTCTCTGAGTGCTGTGGTGAACTTTCTTTAAGGCGTACGTTTCATTTTTCTTCCTCTCTTCTTTCACAGACTCAAAGCTCTGGTGTCGACTGGAGGTCGGAGTGTCCAAGCAGCATGTGACTGGTAGGTTCAACTAAACATACAGCACATTTCCATCATGTGTACAGGACACATCACCAGGCAGTAAAATGTATCGTATACCGCCCTCTGCTGGACAAGTGTGTTAAAACTGTGTTAAATAATTGCAGGTCAACTGCAGCTGAGTGTAAATCAAACACTGTGGAAAAAAGGACGATGCAGACACAGATCTGTGTTTTTGTCACAGCAGCTCACTCTGACAGCAACACTGGTTTCATCAGTGTCTGAACAACAACCCACTACCTGCAGTTTGTTGTTACCAATAACTTTAAACTGGAAAGCGTTCTGTACTTAAATAAACCAGTTCACACTGTTACATGGGACACGTACAGCTATACTACAGTATGCAGTCAGAAATAACTCAGTCCAAGTTGACCTCAAACATGAGTGTAACTTCATCTGTTTAAGTAGCTGGTTGGCTCAACAATATTAAAAAATATTTTATAGATTTTTGTTCAGTCAGGTTTGAATTTCATGTGACTGGTTTTAAATGTTTGTTGTATTAATGACAGACTGCATTTTGTATTCTAGCATATATATCTAAACTGAACTGAACTATTCATGAGTGAAGTACAAGAGCTGTAATATTCTTACTCTTTAGATTTGAAGCACTGGCACAAATGCGTCGTTCTGCCAGTCTGAAGCTAGTCCTCGTTTCTTTACATTTTGCTTCCAAGGAGTCGTTTGTCATTTTTCAAATTTGGTCTCCGGCTTTCTGACGGTCTTTCCAAGTTTGCCTTTGATTCTCTGATTTTCTCGCAGTATCTGAAGAGTATCAGGCAGCCGTGTCATTAACCATGAACCTGAGAGCTGCATCTGGCCCTTCAGCTGATCGCCTGCTGACTCATCAGTGGGAAGTGGCTGTCACAGGCTGTATCCCAATTCAGGGTCTGCAGCCTTAAAGTACGCAGCCTTAACGGTCCACAAGCGCCGCGTACTCAAAGACCGCTAAGGCCGGAAGTGCGAGGCTTGTGAAATGGGCGGTCTAGCCTCCGTTGCGCTGCCCAGGTTGCCTAGCAACCATGATACTAACAGCTGGAAACGTGTCATACAGCTGTGTTTGACAGAAATGAAGGAGAAAATCTTATGTTCATTTCTTTGTTCCTACATGAGCTTTGATCATTCTCTGATTAAGCTCAGCTATTGAACGGCGTATATTTTAAAGTAAAGGCTTTAAAACCAAGTTAGTACAAACGTCACTAATGTCACATGACTTTGCCGACATGTGGCCAACAGGAATGTTTAATGTTCTTCGTTATTAAACATTTGCACATAAATAAGTGACATAATATTCAGTACTTACTTAAAGTTTAATCTTCGGGCGCCCCTCATCCGCCGTTTTTTTTTCGGCAAAATTATCCACACCCACCGCCGCGCTATGCATTCTGGGATATGTTGGGCCACGAAGTCTACACCGCCACGTCCTTAAAATTCAGGGAAATGAAGGACGCATTTGAGGGCCGCATTTCGAGCAGCCTTTGAATCGGGACAGCCTTCGTCGCGTTGCTGTGATGTAATCGGCCTTAAAATGCGGCCTTTAAGGCTGCAGACCCTGGATTGGGAAACAGCCACATAGTCTTTCTGAAGGCAAACAGACTAAACTGGGCTGATCACCAGCGGCAACAGCTCTGATGGAGTGATTAGTCCAAATGTGCTTCAACATTATTGACAATGAGCAGAACAAAAAGGCTGCCAGCATCCGAAAAAGGGCTTCTTATTCCTAAAGACAACTTAAAGAAAATACAGAGCAGGTCATCTGCTGATCGCAGGGTTGCTGGTTCGACGCCTGGCTCCCACCAGCCTGCTCTCCGAGTTTAAATGTGTGTGCATGTTAGAAAGCACTAAAAGCATAGAAGGAAGTGTTCGTGTGGACATGGCATGTTGCATAACGCACTATGAATGTGTGAATGTGTGCGTGAATGGGTGGATGACTGGATGTGTAAAGCGCTTTGGGGTCCTTAGGGACTAGTAAAGCGCTATATAAATACAGACCATTTACCATTTACCATTTACTATGTAAGAATCAGTCCTTTTACCATTTATTGACCTTCAAGCCTGTTAAACTGTACTCAGTTTTTATCTTATATACTGGATTTGCATTTATGTCTGCACATGTTTAAATTCTCACTTAAAGGATAGTGCCTTCCTAGTTTAAAATGCACAGTACTGTAGTGAAAGCTATGCTCCTGTATGTCTTTCTATTGTGTTTGACTTTGTGTTTTGTAGGTTTGGAGGGACGGTGTGCTCAGCTTGTTCGTATATTGTGAAACTGATTCACGTGGGATAAAAGTTGAGCAATGAATAAACAGTCATGATTAAAACAGTTGGGTGTGCGTCAAACTGATGGTCTGATAAGATTTTAATAAGTCACAATCAGCTCTGACAGGATGTGATGTGTCACAGGCATTTATCATTTACTGCTGCACAGAGCTCATCTTCTCTTAATCCCTCTGAAGAAAACTGCAACGCTTTCTTTACAGATCATGAAAGTTTGCATAGAAGTGCAGATGACCAGAATCGTGCCCACTCAGCCATTGTTCACAGTGGGCATCGTGCGTCCTGCCACACACAGGAAGCATTTTCATTTCCACTTGAGAACGTGTCTGAAGTGGACGAGCGTCCGCTGCGTGGGACATATGAGAAAAGACATCCTGGTTGATGGCAGGAGATAATCTGAGAAACAAGAAGCCGAGGACGGCGCACTGTAGAATACAAAGCCCAGAGATGCACGAGCCACGTTCGCTGGATCGAAGATCCCTGTTGTGTGAGCCAATAAACAGATGAGCATAATCAGGAACAGCAAACCACAATAGTGGCGACTAACCCTCTTCTACCCGACTGTCAGAAAAACACGGCTGATTTTCAAATTTAAAGATGGATAGAGAAAAATCTATCTTTAGAGGTAGAGGGGCGGGGTCAGGAACACAGCACCATCAGTATTTGTGCAGTGCACGTTAACACCTAAATGATTCGTGTGCAAAGACGGCCTCGACTCACTCGATTCTGCTTTTTCTCATTTTCATTTGATTGTCATTTCACCTCAACCGATCGCAGCAGATGGCCCCGCCCCTCCCTGAGCCTGGAGGTTTCTCCCTGTTAAAAGGGAGTTTTTTTCTTCCCACTGTCGCCAAAGTGCTTGCTCACAGGGGGTCATATGATTGTTGTGGTTTTCTCTGGAGGGTCTTTTCTTTACAATATAAAGCACCTTGAGGGGGCTGTTGTTGTGATTTGGCGCTGTATGGAAATGAAACTGAGTATTGTCAGGGTGGTCAGTGCTCACGTTCTAACAGTCAGTGTTATCCTTGTGGGCCTAAAAACAAACACTGTTCTGGGCCTTTTAAGCTCTAGATGTGGAGGATAGTGTTCATATGAGGGTATTTGGCTGTTCCAATAATCTGAAGAAAAGTAGTTTTCTTGAAAGCCAAAGAGTACATTCAGTCGAATACCACTGTCCATGCTCCTGGCGAGAGCAGCGTGATGAGCCAATAAGCAGACGAGGGGGAGCATTTTATGTCCCAGAGTCTCTAAACAGGAAATGTTCCACTTCGAAGTGAGCTGCAGGGCTCCGGCACTAATCTGGCTGCACAGCTGAAATAATCCACTGTCAGATATGTGCACTTACCCGTTTCTTCTTTCAAGGTTTCATGTGAAAGTAAATGTACGACATGTCACAGCAGCACGATGTGAGACGTTTCCATGTCACACACAGGCTGTTTTCACACGTGGACGACCCGTTCTTGGACGACCCGCTGCCGAGAGAGTACGTCCTCTACCTGCGACCCAGCGGGCCCCTTCAGAACCAGCTTTCCCATTTCTGGCAGCAGAGCCGGATCACCTGTGGCAAGAACAAAGCCCACAACATTTTCCCCCATATTACTCTCTGCCAGTTCTTCATGGTGAGTTATACTGGATTTAACTTTCATGGTTGAAATTCAACAATTGTAGTCGTCGATATCTGGATAGATTATTTTCTTCTTTGTCCTTGTGCATAAAGTTATTTATCTGAATAGTTTAAGGTAAGCTTTGGCTTATCACTGAAACAGCATCAACAGTGTTAATAGGAAAATACATGTGATGGTGCCATCAGAGCTCGCAGTGTCTGCTAACGACCAGCTGTCATGGGCTACGTTCACAGTGCAGGCGAAAGCGCATCAAATCCGACTTTTTTGACCCTATGCGACCCGTATCCAATCATGTTGTGACAGTGTGAACGGCACAAATCAGTCTTTTACGTCACTGACACAAGACAGGCGCCAATCATCCGCACCGGAGAAATTGATAGACTGCTGCAACAACACCTACTAGCTCTGTAGCTATGGGCTCAAAATGTGGTCATAAATATTTTGTACTTGTAAAAAAGATTTGTATGTGTAAACAGAATTTGTGTGTAAAAAAAGATTTGTGTGTGGACTTAGCCAAAAAAAAACCCCCTGCAAGTTACAAGTACGAATTTTGACCCTATTTTTCTTCCTTTCATCTGATTGGCCAATGTAACAATCCAATCAGAGAACAGATGGGTTTGGCTGTCGGAGGGGCGCTTTTTTGAACTGCAGGTCCTTGAAGGGTGATACAGTTTGAAGCTGGAGGATCTCTATATAAATATCCGATAGCAGCTAGGTCCCCTAACTTTCAGCAGCTGTTGAAAGGATAAAGTTGTGCTATATCAGTGGTTAGAAACACCATTATTACTTTAGGATTAGTCTAACACAAAGTCAGGGCTGACCTGGGACCATTGCTGTGAGACACAGTGCGCAGCATAAAGGTCCTTTCACATCGGACGCAGCATGTGCTGCTAATGCTAACTGCTAACTAAAAGCTAAGGATCCAGAATTTGTTGCTGGCTGCTGGGCTCTGTGTGCAGCAGCTCTACCTGTACTAGATGCACCTGCTCCTTGTCTTTTCTATCTCTGACTTTATGTGAACTACAAGAGTTTGTGGGGTTTTTTTGCTAGTTCTTCAAATGTTCAATAAAAACATGTATGCCAATTCATAACGAAGAAAGCTTTGTAATGAAGACTGCCATTTCCAAAACACTGTCTCCATGGGGGAAGTAAGCATGGGAGGAGGCGTTGGATCCGGGGAAGGGAGTGTGGTGAGTGCATATCAGTATCAGTGTGCATGTGTGCGT